GATGATGAGACAAAGAACTTGGTCCAACCTTTTGTCTCTGAAAATAGCCCTTCCGATTCTTCACGAAGTCAAGGTGCTTTTTGTTATTCAAAAGCAACCTGGCAATATGTACAAATGGGCTAGGGCCAGGCTGTAGGGCCCTCTCCTCCTTGGCTATAGTGCTAGGGAGAGATTTCAGCCCACCTAACTAAGTGTACCGTGTAGGGGGGTCAGCAGACGGTAAGCCTCTTTGAAGTCCCGTGTCTATGGTATAACGTGGAGTATACTGCAGAGTGGTTGTCTCTGCCCAGACAGCCTTTTTGAGCTGGCAGTGGGCAAGTAACTGAAAAATGGATCTGATATTGTTCTGGTGTGCTGTCTACTTCTTTTAAAACGTAACAAAAGCTACTTTCCATGTACGTACTGACAACACTCTAGGCACACCTAGTGTGTCCCCGGCTCTGACAAGTGACATGTTATTCTCAGAGAGGAATCACTTTCATGACTGGCACCTTTTGCTAATGGTCTTCAGGCTCTTTAGGGATCGGCACCAGCCTGTGTGTGCACCACAAGGTCACGAGACCCCTCTATGTGGCAAGCGCACTGTATTTCACCGCAGGCGGCCTGCCAGGCTTATCTCGAGTTCCTCCCGGCCACACCACTAATCTCTTCTCTTCTTTTGCTTAGAAGATGATCATAGTTTTAACTATCCTCAGAACAGTTTAGTAAGGATAAGAAACTTGAACATCTAGTAGCCAGCTATCCTATTATATTTATAAAGCTCACTAAGAAAGTCCACTCATTGTGACTAAACATAGCACACTTGTAAGTCACTAGATCCCACATCGAAAATGCCAGAGTCTAGTTTCTGGTCAGCCACCATGTGCTTCTAGGTAGTTTTGCTTCAACTTAAAAGAGAGAGAGAGAGAGAGAGAACTGTTGTATGCTCAGATAAATAGCTGCTAACTCAAGAGCATATTTCTCTCCTAACAACGGGGGACATCATCGTCCTTTCCCTCCAGAGAGTGACAGTCCATCACAACAGCAGTGTGCAACCAGTGGAATAGGTTTCTCTTGTAAATAAAGAGCCAAATCGATATACAGACAGAGTTAACGGTGCATAGTGTGGAAGGATTTAAAATCAAAATAAACCCAAGCAAAGTGCTACAGGTGCTAGAGATATTAAATGACAGGTAAAATTTTGAGTAACACCATGTAGAAAATTACACGGAAGACTCTTCAGGCCCGGGATACTGCACGGTAGGAGCTCACCCTTTAGTTACTCATGCTTTCCCAGATGAAGTGATCTCTGTAGTACACATGGTTGTATTAACATTTTTGTATTTTTTCCCCCTTCATGCTGATTCTAGGAGTCTAATACATTTCCACTTATATAAACGCTAGATGTCAAATAGATCTGAATGGAAAATGCAAGAAGAACTGGGGAAACGTCACATCCTACAGGTTACTCATGCACAATAGCAGATACTAGAACTGGAGATGCTGCTAAAGGGAAAGAAGGGAAAGTTGATGGGGCTGTGGTGTGTAAGATTTTAGTCATTATTTATACAGAGTTTGGCTAAACCATGGGGAAAGGAATGGAGGATGAGAATGTGTGCTAGAACTTGTGATACTGACTACGCAGAAGGTCAAGGACTGCAGCCTTCAGTATGTAAAGAAAACCAAAATTCTCATAACGGGACCAATAGGTAGAATAATGATAAAGAAAAGGTTGAAGTTGTCAAGGATTTCATCTTGCTTGGTTCCACAATCAATGCTCATGGAAGCAGCAATCAAGTGATCAAATGACTTATTGCATTGGGTAAATCTACCTCTTTAAAGTATGAAATGCAAGCATGTTACTTTGAGAACTAAGCTATACCTGGTAAAAGCCATGGTATTTTCAGTTGCCTCATATGCTACGTGGAAGTTGGCCAAAGAATCAGGAAGACTGAGGAAGAACGAATACATTTGGATTATGATGTTGGGGAAGAGCATGGAAAGCACCATCAACTACCGAAAGTACAAATAAATCTGTCTTGCAACAAGTACAGCCAGGATGCTCCTTAGAAGCAAGGCTAGTGAGACTTCATCCCATGCACTTTAGGCATGTTATCAGGAGAGCCCAGTCTTAGAAAAGGACATCACGTGTGGAACATTAGCAAGGCAGTGAAAACCCTTGACAAGATGGATTGATGGATTGACACAGGGGCTGCAACAATGGATTCAAACATAACAACTGTGAGGATGGTGCAGGACAGAGCAGTGTTTCTTCCGCTGTTCCTCGGGTTATTACGAATTGGAACTGGCTCAATGGTGTCTGACAGCAATAATCACAGCACAGGAAGATGGTGGCAGAACCCATTTCCCAGTCAAAGTGACGAGGTATAAAAAAGATTAAGCACCTTGCTCAAGGCCACAGCTAATAAATGGGAGACTCAAGAATTGAACCTATAGTCTACCAGAACCATACGTAGATTTCTGTACTGGGCAGAAATCTACTGAGACTATGTGCTCCTTAAAGTGAAATGGTCATTTGAACAGCTTATACTGATGGTTGAGGCCATCTCTAGCATCACCTTCTTGAAGCTGAGCATTAACATGAGATAACTGGAAGAGAGATGCTAAATATCTGAGCACTCTCTGGGAAATTGGACATTGTAGATCCTTGGAGAGATGCTTGTGGTAGTTACATAATCTGGTGTCAATTTGAGGATGAAGAGTGAAGGAGTGAAGTCTAGCCTGTCAATTGGGTCATAGCTAATGAGGTCTCTGTGTGGGCATGGCCTTCTCCTGAGGATTCTGGGAATTCTTGTATTCCTCTTTGGAGGCAGGAGACACTCTCTAGGCTCACTCCCTGTGAGACATCCCTGTGGAGAGGACACATGGAGAGAGGCTGATGGAGCCAGACATCTGGAGCCAGAGAAGCCACATGGAGACCCCTGTCAGTGCTGAGATGCTTACAACGCCACTGGAACCACAAGACTTCCCACCCACTGGCCTGTGATCTTCCTGCATTCAGCGTTATTGCATGTGTTTCATGAGTCTGAAGAGGACTTATTAGATTGGTAAGGGACATATGGGCTAATATTAAACTGGATGTTTTCTCAATGTTCAACTGCTCTGGTATATAAACCTTTTTCTTGTACACATATGCGTGTTTATGAATTTGTTTCTCTAGTCTGCCCGGACTAACACATGCTGCTGGGAGGTGTGCAGAATTCTGGAAGCCTACTATGGTTGATGGGGGGTGGCTGAGAGGGGAGAGTACAGAGAGGGCACTGTTCTCACAAAGCTCACAGCATAGCCAGGGCAGGGGAACCCCCTCCAGTAAACAAGTCAATAAACCAGAGCTCTTCAGGGAGAAGTAGGGGGTGAAAGAAGGAGCCCAAACGGATTCTGGGTTCACTTCCTCTCCCAAGCCAGTCACACAAAGAAACAACACACATTTTCAGGGAAACAAAGTATCTCTGGCACCCAAAATCTTCCTCCAGAGGAGGAAGGTAATAAATAATTATTTAAAGGACGTACTTTCGTGGTCAGATTGTCGATGAGCCCGGGTAAAGATTGGGAAAGTAGTAAAAAAACTAGATGGCCTACCTCGAGTAGTAGCCCAGCACTCAGCAAAGAATGCGACACATCTCTTGCCCTGGAGCCTGTGCAAGAAACCCACACCAGAAGGTGCTAGATGAAATAGATGGAGCAGCTCTCTGGTTATTCCAAAAGGCAACCTCATGTTTGGCCAATATGACCCCAAAACCTCAGTCACAGGGTGGAGGCTGCCTCCCCAAGCAGTATTGTTCCTGACAAAGGGCCACCTTGTGGCATCATGAGCCAAGAGTAGGTGCCACCTGAGCATTTCCTAAAATACGTTTGTTTTTCTTGTAAGTCACCTAAGTCTGCATAAAGCCGGGGGAGGTGATTCATAGCATCGGCACTAATCACTAAGCAGGAAGAACTGGATCATTGACCAGGAGTGATCTGAGCAATGGAACTGCCTCAGTGGGATGGCCAAGTCCTAGCGGTTGATCTGCTCCCTGGCTTCATGGCCATTGGCACAACCTTTGACCACACGCCTTGTTTTTGAGGGGTATGAGGGACAGTGAGAGGGCTTGTCCACGCATTCCTCATATTGAACTTCGTGAAATGCACCCCAACTGTCAGAAAAATAATGAGCAAACTGTGTTGTAAGTAAACGATGAGTGCTAAGACGGAGCCAAGAGAGATTTGAGGTGAGAGCAGAAACTCCTTGGAGGCAGTACCTGGCTTATTGGACGGAACTTTCCTCAGCATACAGGTGAGGCTGCAGCCTCAGTCCCTCTCTTGCTCTGGACCAATCCTGTCAGGAAGCCCAACCAGACAGCAGAAGCGCCTGTTCACTCAGCCAGTCCTTCCCTCACCCGCACTCCGAGAACTTACATAATGTCTCCACAGTCACATGGTCCCTGAGTCGGCCTCTGCTGTCAGCTTGACTTGCTCGCCCTGTTATCAAGTCTTTTACTGCATGTAACCCAATGCATCTCTTCCTTTGCTGTATTACCGTAGTATTCAAGGGCAGTGGTGAAAAATGTCCAGAGAAACGAGAACGCTACAGGCGTTCTTGAGTATTCAAGAACAGGGAATCATTCCACTGAGCAATTTGGTTTTCAACACGAAGTTGGACTAATCACTGATCAAATGCAGCAGATAATCAATTCACCACCACCCGAAATAAAGACAAGTATGTATCTTGCATACACATACACACAATAGGCATATATATATATCACTTTGGCAAACTTAGTTATCTCTAGATGTCAGAGTTCTTGCTGGTTTTCCAGTGGACTTTATTCCTACCCCCCTACCCTCCCTCCTCTGCTGCTTTCTTTGGGTGCTCTTCATCATGACCAGCATTTTCCCCTGAAAAGTTGGGGACAGGGTGCTTGCTGCATATCCTGTTTGACTGAAATGTCCCCTGTACTTTTCAAAGCTAGCACCCCTTTGGCGAGCATCCCAGTGGGCAGGGTTCCCCCACTACTTACCTTTGCGATCTGGACACACCAGTTGAGGAGATACTGGGAGCCGATGTTGTCCTTGTGCTCACGGATGTAGTCCAGGAGGCAGCCGAAGGGCATGAGCTGCGTGATGAGCTGGACTGTGGAGGTCAGGCAGATGCCTAGCAGGCGGCACACATGGGGATTGTCCACACTGGCCATGACATAGGCTTCCTGCACAGAGGAGAGAATAGTTGGCATTGGAAAGATGCCTCCAGGGGAAAACAAGGCCAAGCACCATTTTGAGTTTCAATACATGAATGTGAGGAGGGCGAGTTACACCACCCAGTACAACGGACATGAATGAAGGACCTTTGACACCGGGTGCTGTGGAATGGCAAAACACGCTGTGGAAGACAGACACCCGATCAGATCACACGATCCAACATAGCACACTCCCCTCTCTGAGGTCCCTTCCCTTTCGTATAATGAAAGAAAAACCTCTTTGCAAGGTGAAGACCACCCCCACCCACCCCCTTGAGGGTTTTTCATTGAAAACCAAAGCAAACAGCAGACACAATGGTGAAAATGCCTCTTGCAAGTCACACTTGCCCCCCTTTTGACATAAGGTCTTGACCCCAACCTTTCTGCTTTGGGAACCTAATGAAAACACCGTGGGGTACTCTCCAGGGCCACCTTAGTGAAGGGGACTTGACATAACAAAGACCATTTTAATATGCTCAAAAAAAAAAAAGACACCTTTAGAGCTTAGAGGAAACCTTAGAGCTTCTACCATGGGGTCACTGACTGCTGGCAAGGAAATGGATGCAAATGGGAATGGGTCACCGTGATAGTTCTAAGACGCACATTGCTGATGTCAGAATGATGAAGACTTCAACCTTAGGCCAAAGATACTGTGGGTTACGTGGCGCCCCAGCATCAGAACATTCATAAGTGCTCCTTGGACACCCTGCATAATGACTTGCTCACTCCATCAGGGACCCCCACTATAGATACTTGGGAGATGGAAGGGGAAGAGTGGCCACTGGTGGCTCCCCCAGTCAGGAGGCAGTCATGGAAGAAGACCTCATGTCTCAACAGAACAACAGTGTCCGGGCTTACTGTTCCACAAACAGGAGTTAAAGCACGTGGAGTCAGGGCCCTGTCGAAAGCAGAGCTGTGATTCTGAGGGACCCCTACCAAGGGTAAATGCGACTGTCTTGGGAAGTGCTTGGTCTTGAGATTTTTAATTTCCTCCATTCACAGCCAGTGCTGCCCAGGATTCTTCTCTGTAGACAGGATGCTGTCTTGTAGCGCCTTCCCTAGCCGCCACTGGAGTCCCCCTCTGACGAGCCCTAGCTCTGCCTAAAGGAACCCCCATCCCAACTCAGGCCTGCTCCCAAGGCAGGATCCTTTATGTGACACAGACCCAATCCACCCTTCTGTTATTCTTGGACAGAGAAAGTTCAATTTATGTACAATCATCCATACAATGGGACCCTCTCTCTGACTGGGGCTAGAGAAGCCTCAACTTCACTCATAAATTCTTCCCTTTCCCACCATAGGATGGTGGTGACAGTTTCTTCAGCTGTGAAAAGGCCCACATGAACTGCCAAAGACAGAGAAGTGAAGAGGCGCCTTTTTACTCTGGGCAACTGCTGCGTTCTGTGTATAGATCTTGACCAGCGAGTGGCTTTTTGCAGAAAAGAATTCAGCCGGGGCCCGGTCAGACACTGGACACACCACGGGAGCTGGCCAGGCAGGCAGGGGACGACTGGAGGATGGAGACCAAGATGGTAATGATTGTAGTGAAAGCAGACAGGCAGATGGATGGCTAGGTAGGTAGGGTCAATAGACGTAGACCAATGATGGGTGGGTACTTTGATTAAGCACAGATAGGATTATCGCACTTTCCTTGTCTAAACCCTTCCAGTGCTTAAGATGACCAGAGGCACTGCTGAGCTTGGCCCCTCCTTTCCACACCCTGCTTCTGCCCTCCTCAGCGGGATGGGGCCTCCTTTGAAGTGCTCCCCCATCTCCCTTTCTCTGGCTGAGCCCTTCTCAGCCACAAAACGGTGCCCTCAATCAGGCAAAAAAAGTAGAAAATATTAAGATCTAGGACATATTTAAAATGGAACATAGGGG